GGCGGGAGGGGGCAGTGATAGTTACCATTGAGACCTATTCTGAGCCAGACTTCATGTTGAGCCCTTCTCAAACAGTATCTCTAATTCTCACAATGAACCCCTGAGGTACAGGTCCTTTTAGATGGATCTGTTGAGGCTCAGGGAGCTCTGGTAGCATAGTGGCTAAGACAGTTGCCTGCTAACCAGACGGCTGGCGGTTCAAACCCACCAGCCACTCCTCGGAAGGAACGTTGGGCAATCCTACTTCCGTAGTGATACTGCCTCGGAAACCCAAGGAGGGGTCGCTATGAGTCGGGTTTGACTCGACGGCACATAACAACAACATTGAGGCTCAGGGTGGCTAAGACATTTGCCCAAAGCCACAGAGCAAACTGCAGGTGAGGGTGGGATTCAGACTCAGGTTTACCTGAGTGCAAAGACTGCCATTCAACACCATGCAGGTTGCCGTGATGATTAAAAGAGAACGGGCATCCTTATCACCTGTCTCCACTCAGGTCGGAGATAAGCTCTGTGAGAGCAGGGCCACTGTTTTTGGTTCACCTCTGAATCATGGGCACACAGAACGTGTGTGGTATGCAGTAGGTGCTCAGTAAGTACCTGCTGAAGAGTGATCCCGCCTGACACAGTGCTTGGCATACAGCAGAGTCTATGATAGTCCCCTTTCCACCCCATTTCCATTCCTCTCTCCAACCTGAGAAGTGGTGGTCCCCTAGCCTCCCCCAAAGCTCCCCTCAGGCAGGCCTGGCTCCATCGTGGGTCACACCTGCACCCTGTGCATCTCACCCAGCCCGCAGATCTCCTCACCTGCCTGTGGCATCTCCCAGCCTAGTTCCGTCAGGCAGTTCACAGGCAGAACTGTTTCTTTCTCGTCTATAAAAGGCCAGGTGTGAAGATGCTTCCTTTCCGTGAGGCCTGGTACCATTCATGTCAGGGGTGTGGAAGCAATCACTTCCCATTCCAGAAGGCTCAACACCCCCACCCGTGGTACCCCTGCCCAGGCCTGTCCTGACCCCAGGCCCCAATGGGTGTTCTAGGTCACAAAGCTGATGGGGTGTTGGGTCAGAGAAACCTCATTTATTCAGCACTGGGCTAGTGCTTTTACGCACACTCATTTCTTCTTCCCAGTTATCCTCTGAGGATGGTATTATATTTATGATTCCCAGTTTATGGATGAGGAAACTGAGGTTCAGAGAAGGGAAGCAACTTCCCTAAAGTCAAATAATCACAAATAGCAGAGCAAGGATTCGAACTCAGGCCCTCTGAGCCCAGGTTCTTCATTGTGAACAACTAATATGTATTGATAAGGAGGTCCTGGTCTCAGTGGCGATCGTTCTGGCCACAGTAGTACTAAGGATCCCTACATACCACCACCAGTTGCCATGGCGTTCACCCCATGTGTATCAGAGTAGAACTATGCTCCACAGGCTGAAATTTTGGAAGCAGATGACCAGGCCTTTCTTCCAGTACCCCATGTGAACTTGAACCACCATCCTTTCAGTGTGTTAAATGCCTTACATTCTGATCCTCACAGAACTTCTTAGATAAGTTTTGTACAGTATTAAGTACTGTTGTTGTTGCTATTTGACAGATGTGGAAATGGAGATTAAAGTGGTTGAGTAAGTTTTTCCAGAGTCGTATGTTGTTGTTATGTGCCGTCGAGTCAGACCCAACTCATAGCGACCCCTCCTTGGGTTTCGAGGCAGTACCACTACGGAAGTAGATTGCCCAACCTTCCTTCCGAGGAGTGGCTGGTGGGTTTGAACCACCGGCCTTCTGGTTAGCAGTCAAGTAAGTGCCTGAGGCATTAGGCTACCAGAGCTTCTCCAGAAGCATATAGGAGCCAGAATATAGCCCACTGTGCAGTGCCTCCAAAGACCTTCCCCTGCCCAGACAGACCCTAAGGGAGAATTCTGAGTGAGGAAAAGGGCCTTGAATGTAGTCACACCATGCAGGCTCCAGGACCACCTCTTTCTGGCTGTTGTGGTGTCAGGCAGGTCCCTGAACCTTGGGAACCTTCATCTCCTGAGTCAGATGGGGAGGGCCATCCCCACTGCCAGGCTGTAGTGTGGTTCCACACCACAGTGAGAACGCATAAGCCCCCAGTCACACAAACAGTGGTTTAAGAGTCATATTTCCATAAACAACAAACTCACTGCCATCGAGTCAGATCCGACATAGTGACCCCTCCTTGGCTTTCCAAAGGAGACTGCCTGACCTTTGTTCTGAGGTACTGCTGGGTGACTCAAAGTCCCACCCTTTCGGTGGGCAGTGAGTAGGGCAACACTTTGCACCACCCAGGAACTCCAGTCTCCTCACAAAGATGTGGACATGAGATGAGGTGCCTGAATGTATCTGTAAACTGTGAAGTGCTGGGTGAATTTAGCAGAAAAGACAAGGGAGCAGGGTCCGAGGGACCCACCCATGACCTCAGGATAGTCCTTAGGTTGACCCAAGTCTCTAAGATGAGCCACTTTCCAAAAAAACCTGTTCTCAGGCCATTGATACCAGTGTTACATGAGGTTGGTTTTGTTTTGTTTTTTTCAAATAGCATTTTAACAAGTATTCAGTAAGCTTACTGTATGCCAAGGACTATTCTAAGTGCTTTACAAATTATTCATGCATTTAATCCTTATAAGATCCCTGGGAAATAGGTGCTACTGCTACTTCCCCCATTGACAGATGGGAAAACTGAGGCCAAGGAGGTTAAAATATGTCACATGCTTGCAAATGACAAGAGTTGATACCTATCAAGTGCTTAGTATGGGGCAGGACACACAGTGTGCCCACTAAATGTTAGTGGCTGCTATTATTATTGTTATTTATGCAGCAATAATAATGTATGGCATATTTTTCCAACTTCCTTATGTATTTTAGGGAGCTCTGATGGGGTAGTACCTAAGGCATTTTGACTGCTAACCAGAAGGCTGGTGGTTCAAACCCACCAGCCACTCCTCGGAAGGCAGGCTGGGCAATCGACTTCCGTAGACATACCGCCTCAGAAACCCAAGGAGGGGTCGTTATGAGTCAGGACCGACTCGATGGCAGTGAGTTTGTTTTTGGTATTTCACGTGTTTTACTTCTTGTCTGCCTTCCCCACTCGTTGTTGGTGAGTCAATCCCGACCCATCCCCGCCCTGTGTTACCGAGTAGAACTGCTGTGCTACACAGGGCTTTCTGGGCCGCCGTCTTCACAGAAGCAGGCTGCCAGGCCTTCCTTCTCCAGCACCACTGGGTGGGTGTGACCCACTAATTTTTCCGTTAGTGGTTGAGTACGAACCCTTGGCGCCATCTAGGGACCTCGTCGGTCTCCCCACTATCATGATGTTTCTATGAAGACAGGGATTGTGCTCGGTTTTGTCCACTACTGTCTTCTCAACACCTAGCACACAGTGGGTGTTCAATGTCATGTCTGTAAAATTATTACTGCTGTTGTCACTATCAGGACCATCATCAACACTGACCTGATTTTGAGACCATCAGACTATCAGGCACCAACCCAGGCTGGAGAGGAGGAAGCTCCTTCCAGATTTATGGGGGTGTGTGATGGTAGAGGGGATTTGGATGTCCTCACCCCCTCCCAGACGAAGGCTGTGTAGACAGGGGAGGATTTTCACCCAGAGGGGTTTGGAGAGTATGCTACTGCTTCCTGGGGAAGGAGATGGGAGGATGTGACCACCAGTCAAACCGTCAGCATAACAACAACAATAAGCAATCATTCAATTAATAACAATAAAAACAAATAACAATGACTATTATTCCTTCTGTTTCTAGGCTCCCATTCTCCAGCTGCTTAACAGCCCTTTGCCCTCTGTGCTTCCCTTGCACTGAGATGACGGGTTTGAGGGACGAGACTCTACAAAGGTGAGGTTGCCCTCTGTCCCACAGCCTGGGGAACTGGAGAGGGGCGGAAACTTCTGGGGTAACCAGTGCTGGTGGTCCTGCCCTCTGGCTCCACCATCCCGTGCAATGGCAGGACTTGCGGGGCAGGGAGACAGCAGGCAGAGGCCCTTTGGTGCCCCTGGGGAAAGGCAGGGTTCCCTGAAGGCAGACCAGGACGAGAGGAAGGAGAGATCAGAGAAAGACACAAGCACACACAGACAGACACGGGGGTGTGTGCGGAGTGGGTGTGTGAAGGGAGACAGACAGAAGAGGCAGAAGAAGACAGGTGGGGGGAGGCAAGTCAATGAGAGAGGCAGGGAGGCACCAAAAGGGACAGACAGACAGACAGACAGGCAGAGGAGACAGTGAGGGCTTGGGAGAGGCAGTGGCAGAGAGGTCAAATCAAAACCAAACTTGTTGCCGTCAACGGTTCTCACTCATGGCAACCCCATATGTCACAGATTAGAACTGTCCTCTGTGGCATGTGCAATGGCTGGTCCCTGGGTGGTACAAATGGTTCACTGCTCAACTACTCGCTGAAAAGTTGGCAGATGGAACCCACCCTGAGGTGCCTGAGAAGACCGGCCAGGCTACCTGCTTTCCAAAGGTCACAGCCTTGAAAACTCTACAGAGCCGTTCTGTACTCACAATCAACTCCACGGCAGCTACCAACAGTCTTTACTGAAGCTGACCCCGGGGCTTTCTTACAAGGCACCTTTGGGCAGGTTTGAACTGCCGACCTTTAGGTTAGTAGTTGAGTAGTTGAGCCACTGGGCCACTGAGATAGAGAAAGACCCAAACAGGGTGGAGGAAGACAGACAGACCGAATGAAGGAAAGAAAAGTGAGACAGACAGAAAACTTAGACAAGGGGTGAAGAAACAGGAGATGCTGAGGCAGGAATGGGGGCTGGAGTGGAGGGGTGGGGAGATGGAGGGCGGTGGGGAGAAGGCAGGCTCACCTGGAGGTGGAGCAGGCTGTTCTCCTGGAGGTAGAGGTACTGCAGGCTGACCAGGCCACGGAAGATGTTGCCAGGCAGGCTGCTGAGCTGGCAGCGGTACAGATGCAGGGACTGCAGCCGCTCCAGGCCCTGGAAGGTGTCGGGCTCCAGAGAGCGCAAGTGCCGGTTGTCCCCGAGGTCCAGCTCCTCCAGTGCCTGCAGGTGGCGGAAGGTGCCCGGGTAGATGGTGGAGAGATTGTTGGAGAAGAGCCACAGGGTGAGCAGGTTGGGCCCAAAGGTGCCGGGCCGCAGTGTGCGAATGAGGTTGTTTTGCAGGAAGAGTCGCTGTGTGCTGGGCGGCAGGGACAGCGGCACCGAGGAGAAGTTGTTGGCCTGGCAGCTGACGGTGGGCGGGGACGAGTAGCAAGTACAGAGCATAGGGCAGCTGGGAGCTGCGGGGGGCAGGGCCAGGAGCATCAGCAGGAGGCAGGCTGAGGCAGGACCTGCGGGGCAGAGTGGGGGGCTCTGCTGGGCAGACTGCCAGGGTGGGGGAACCAGCCCCCTGGAGCCTGCCCACTCATAAAGGCCCGAGCCCTGGTACTAGTAGGTTGGTGGGTTCTGGATGCAGTCTCAGTGCCCCAGAGTCCCTGATTCCTTCCACTATCTGAGGGTCCTGGTGAATGAAAAGATAGTGACATCCCAAGAAGACATTATAAAAGACACTGTGATGCGTTTGAAGTTGTCTGACAAGAGATCTGCTGCTTCCCATCCTGTCTGTTTCCACTACTGTGTACTCGACCTGGTGTGACAGTTTGGTGTGACAGTTTGGCTGGACCGGTCTTTGTTGTTGGGTGTTAAGTAGTATCTCTGACTGATCAAATGCTAGTAGCACACAGCTGTGACAACCAGATGTCCCTAGACATTGCCAGCTGTCCCCTGGGGATAGGATGGCCCTAGGTGAGAACCACTGAAACTAACCTGAGTCTTTGTGAAAGAATCTTAGGTCTGAAATGGCCCTCCCGCCACCCTGGGGATGGGCCTGGGCCTCACCTGCTGCTCAAAGCCCTCCTCCCAAAGCCATTCCTGCAGCTTTCCACCCTGTGGTGAGGGCCCCTAGGAATCAAAGGTCAGTGGTTCTCTGACTGGGGTTTGTAGCCACCTGCCCGGGATCCCGGAGAGAATGTAGCTTCCTTTGCAGTCCCTTCAGAGCCCAGCAACCTTCCCTTATACCCCAGGCTCTTCTCATACAAAGTCACTTAACAATATTTTTTATCAGAGTAACTTTTGAGGGTTGGATGTAGTTCAGCCTCTCAGGACAGATGGAGGCGACCCATGAAGGCCCAGGCCCTGGGGTTCCTGTGCTATAGCGGGGGGTGTGGGGCCCCTCATCCAGCCCAGCCCCCTGCCCGACTGCAGCTGATAAAAGTTCTGGGTCAGAGTGAGCTTGGTCTTTACTCCTGAACCTGATTCCTGGTTGACTCCTGGGATTTTCTTCCTAGGGAGAATGGGGGCCCAGCACCCCCAAAGCCAGGCAGTTACTCACATGGACTGGGCACCTTCTGCTTGAGGCAATATGTGAGGCCTTTGAGGACAGGGGTGAGGGGACCTGGTCCTTGACCTCAAGTGTCCCGGGGCTCCCTGGTTCAGGGGTCCTGGTGAAGCTGAGCGGCTGGTGTTTTTTCAAGCGTGAGCTCTCTGAGGCTGCAAATCACACCTGCCAGGCGGTCGGTTACCGTGTGCGCGCCCGTGATGTCTCACGCTACTGAGGTTGCAGTGTGTGCGTGTGTATGCGATTTTGGGGTGATGGTGTGAACCAGGTGCTCACTATCTGAAGTGCTGCCAGGCCAGGTGTGGCGGGGACATCACAGATGCTCCGGTGGCCTCCTCTCATGGGGACACACGGGAGCAGGGTGAGGACCCCAAGCCCTGGGTTGTGGTGCACCTCTCACTCCTGGCAGGGGCACTTCCCTCCCACCCCTCGCCAGCTGCTCTGGGAGTGTCCGGGCCCTACCAGTGCTGAGAGGCACTGATGAGCGCCGGCCTATGTGTGTGAGTGCACGGGCGCAAGCGTGTGCTGGCTGTCCTCCGCGTGTGTGAGTGCCGGGCCCCGTGCGTGTGTAGGCTGGGTGTGATGTAATACTCTGTGACACACTGCTGTTCCATTCGTTCACACCACCTCCGCGTTTCTCGGCCCTTCTCACCCCTCCCCCGTGTGGCGTTTCACGATTACTTTCTCCTCCCTGACTGTTTCAGAGCCACGTGGGGTGGAGGCGCATGTCTCTTACCCCTCATCTGAACAAGGCAGGGGTGGGACGAGGGAGCGTGGTAGAGGACCCCGGGTTGGTTTCATGATGGCTGAGGTTTGGGGCTTAGAAACGGAGATTTCAGAGTTTGGAAAGCTCCTCCAGGTTCATCTGCTTCAACCCTAAATTCTACTGAGGTGAAAACTGGGGCCCAGAGCAGACAAGTGACTTGCCCAAGGTCACACAGCAAAGTGATGGCAGGACCAAGGGCCAGGAAGGAGGCTTCTGACACCCAGCCAGGGCACTTCCCTTCCGGCCAGAGTCACCCTCTCAGCTCCGCCTCCCCAAGGACTTGACACCAGAGGAAGCCAAATCCTTCTTTAATCCCTTAATCCTACCCCTTATCCACAAATTCACAAGAGCACTCCAATGCCCCGCCAGCCCTCCCTCTCTCCAGGGGATTATGGGGGAGCTCCCCCCCATCTCCATGGCTGCTGCCCTCCCCAGACAGGGAAGGAAGGGCACATGCAATCCCAGAGAGACAGTCCCCTGCCTGCTGGTCTCTTCAGCCTTGAGGCTGAGGTTGGCCAGGGCCCCCATGCATCCCTTACCCATAAGCTCCTGCCCCCCCCATGAGGTGATTCTCCCCTTTCCCTGCTACATCCTTCCCTTTACCCTAGCAACCCCCCATCACAGCCCACCTCCTCAAGCCCCAGGGTGGTGTTCCCGGGGTGGAGGAAGGACCCTGAGTGGGGGCCCCCCACCACGGCAGCTGCTGCGTAACGGTGACTCTGTTGCCATTTCTGGCCCTCGCCGCAAAGCAGCTGTAACCCAAGGAGCCTCATCCATAATTCAGGCTGCAGCTCTCAGTGGAGGCGAGGAGGAGGGGAAGGTTGGGGGCTCTGGGTTTCTCGGCCCCCAGGCCCAGCTCCAGGGCTCCTGGGCAGCGGCGGGCAGCAAGGGCTGGTGAACTGTACCTTTCCCTCCCCGCCCTTCCATCCCTGTCTGGTGGGTGCCCCTCTTCTGGCCACGGTCCCTTCCCCTCCAGGCCTGTACTTCCTCTCTCCAAGGACCCAGGCTCTCCACTCAGACACTCCTGTTGTGAATTCTCACTGGGAACTGGGGCAAGAGGCATGGGGCATCAGGGCCAGCCTCCAACCTAACCCTTCACTATACGGACAGGGAAAGCCCTTCTCACAGCTGCCCCCTCCCCTCCTTGCTTTCCGCTTTTTTTTTTTTGAAATCCTTTCCCAAGTCAGCTGGTGATGGCCTTGATATGGAGGGATGTAGAGAAGGGAAGGGAAGGAACCATCTCTTATTAAGCACTTACTGTGTGCCACACAGTACAGTTTTACCTGTTCACTTCTTTACCCAGAGAATAAACCACAGCATCTAAGATACAGCATCTTATAATCCCCTGTGAGGTCAGCATTATGGCCCCCAATTTGCAGAGGAGGGAGGGAGGCTCAGGATTCTGCAGTGAGTTGCCTCAGATTATGAGCTGGTACAAGGTGGAGCCCAAGTTAAAAAGGAGGGTGCACTATCAGAAGGGACGACTCTCTGGTCTTTGGGAGGTCCTGCATCATCCCTGGAATCACCCTTGAGTGTGACAGATGCTATACCCTTAAGAAGCAGGGAGGGCAGACCCGGAGCCCAGGTGCACAGGGCTGAGTTGGCCACCATGCTGAGTTTGGATGGCAAGGAAGAGACTCAGGCTCTATGGCAATGCTCTTCTCCTGGGCTCCAGACTGGGGCTGCTCAGAGGGTGGCCTACTGGGGAGTCAGGGAGAGATGACCAGTGTCCAGAAGATTTGGCCAGGGGAGGGAACAGAGAGAGAGACTAGGACACAGTATTGATTCCGGAAGGCTGAGATGTCCAGAGCTAAAAACTATCCGTTCCCCAAGGGACCACAGTTCAGGACCTAGAGGTGTCAAACCCGGGAGTACCAGGGCTCAGAAGCAAAGTTATCACCCCAGGAGCCCCATGGAGGGAAGGAACTTGAGGAAATGGACCCAGGGTAGAGGGCAGGAGTGGGGGTGCTAGCATGCCAGGCATGGGGTTGGTCCAGAGTAGCCCCTGGAAAGAGTGCTTAAGGGGGTCAGGCCTCTGGGCCTGGAAGGGGTATTGAAGGGCTCAGTGTCCAACAGGCAGCTTTGGGGGAAAAGGCCAGGGCCTGCCGGGGACGTGCCAGGGCTGAGGTGGGAGTTGAGGATGGGACCAAGGTGGTGGGGATGCCAGTGACGCTGGGCCTGGGGAGGCACTGACGTGGTGATGGAGGTTTAGAACTGCTGCAAACAGCTTCTCCCTCTGCCAGAATGTAACACCCCAAAATAATCAGCCACCATGGTGGTGGCGGTGGCGGCAGGATCCGCAGGCAGGATCCGCCGGGGCCCAGAGATATAAATGGCAGCCCGGAACCAGCCAGGGCCCACCCTTGGAGGCTGCCACCCCCATACCATGGGCCTCACCCTTTCCTCCTCACAGCTACCCCAAGGTCCTGAGCTCAGAGCCCCCAGCCTAGCTCACCAGCCACTCCCTGAGAGCAGAGGTGGGAAGGCAGGCAATGTGGGGAGGGAGGGCTTCGCCCGTGGAAGTGGCTGCCAGCAGCCTCTTTGTCTCCTTTCTGGGCAGCCCCCACCCTGGGTCCCTCTCTCCCACCCCTTTCTCCTCCTCCCTTCCCTCGACGCCAACCCCCTCTCCCAATCCTGATCTACCCACCCTTCCTCTCCCTTCTGTGGGTCCCAGGCCTGGCCGTCCCCCTCCGTCCTCCTCCCTGGTTCTGATTCCCATCTCTACTCACCATCCCGGTCCTATCTGGTTTCCGATCCCCTCTTTCCATTCCAGCCCCAGGGTGGCGGCCCTCCCTCTCTCCAGTTACCCGCACATCCAGATTCTCTGTCCCCTTCCCTTAGTTTTTTTCACCCCTCCCCTAATCTCTCCTCAGTCCCACTTCCCCTCCTGTTGTGAATTCTCACTGGGAACTGGGGCAAGAGCCACTTTCTCCACCCTCCACCCTCGAGGTCCCCTTTCCCTCGCCGCTGGTCTCACCCCGCCCCTCCCCCCTCCCTGGCCCGCACTCCGGGAGGTCCCTGTCCCTGCAACTCTTCCCTCTCTAGCGCCCACCGCGTGTTTTAAGGAGGGCCTTCTGGATCCCCTGTTACGCCCCGGTCCTCCAGCCGGCCGCCTCCCCACGCCCCTGTCCTCCCAGGTGACGGGAAGTGCTGAGGCACCGGGCTCCAGGAGTTGCTGAGTCGGCGCTTCCCCAGCCGGCCCGAGCCCTCTGCGTCCCCCGGAGCAGGTGGAGCCGGGACAGCGGAACCTGAGCCTCCCTCCCGCTCCCGGCGCAGCCAGCCAGCCCCGAGGCCCCCCTCGGTCACGAGCTCGCCGCGCACCCCCTCAGGCTCCCAGCCGGCTGCCCTGGGGCGGGGGCGGGGGCGGGGCCGGGCGCTCAGCCGTCCCCCCTCCCGGGCCCCCCCTTACTCCACACCTGCCCCCCCTCGTGCCCGGGAGGAGAGCCCCCCGCCCCCCCCGGCCGCCGGGGTCCCTACCTTGCAGCAGGCGCTGGAGCCCGGGCAGCATCTTGTCTCGCCGCTCGGGGGAAGGGGTGGCGGGGGGAGGGTGCTCCCACTCGCTCCCCGAGCCCGCCAGACGGACGGCGGGGGCTCCGCGGGGCTCCGGGAGGGTCCAGGCGTCCCCCGGCGCAGCGGCCGAGCCGCGAAGCTCTACCCTGCGCCCCGCGGGCGGCGGGGCTCGGGAGGAGCCATGGGCCCGGACTGGACGGGGCGGGCGCGACGGGCCGGGGAGGGCTGAGGCCGGCCGTCGACACCGGGTGCCCGCGACCCGCAGCAGCGCGGCCCGCCTGCGGGTCCGTCAGTCCGTCGGCCCGTGCTCCCCGGCCGCTCGCCGAGGGAGAGTGGGGACGGCGGGGAAGCGCTTCCCAACTATCCCCCTCCTTCCCGCACTCGCTGGCTCCTCCCTCGCTTCCTGGCTGACGCCTTAACCCTTTGCTGGCCACTAGGAGGCGTGAGCGGCTCACGCGCCCCCTCCATCCAGGCCCCCTCTCTTTGGGGGCCCTGGGGGACTGTCCTCGATCGCCTTCGCGGCGCCAAGCTTCGAGAGAAATCCCTTCTTGAGAGGGAGCGGTAGTGGAAGGGAACCCCGTGGACCTGCCCTGGTCTCTCAACTTTTCCGTAGGAGAAGGCCTCCCGGGTCACCGTCTCCCGCCCCCTCCGCGCCCTGCGCGCCTGGGTCCGGGCCTCTAACGCGTCTCTCCTTCCGAGTGCCCGGGAGCTCCCGGGCGAGCAATGGGCAGCTTTCCCTTCCGTGCCCAGACCCCAAGCCCAGAGTATGTGTGACTATAAGAGCACATGGAAGAGTTTGCGTGTGCAAGCGCGTGTGTTAGGTGAGCGTGCACGCGCGCGAGGACGCGTGTGCAGGTGAGCCTTGACATGCTTGCAGGCAACCTTTTCTACGGGCCGGGAGAGCGGGGCCGTGTGAGTGGGCGCACGGGGGAGCGCGGAGTCGACTCCGGGGAACGTTCGGCTGGGCCAGGGTTGGGCGCGCAAGGCTGGGGACATGGGTGGCGAGGGTGTGGGGGAACGGGGTGTGGAAGTCCTCAATGCGTTTGCGAGCGGGTGCGTTTCTCTGTGCGTGTGTCTGAGAGGGGGTATCTCAGCCCCCGCGGAGGGACGAGAGAGACCCGAAAGGCGGCTAGATAGAAATCCCGGGCGTGGCTTCACTTCCAAGGCAGTCGATGCCGGGCTCACTGGGGCCCCAGGGGCCTTTTGGGACGACGTCGGGTGCGCTGTCTGCCGACCCGTGGCCTGCGAGCCTCCTCAAACCGGCCTTGCTCCCGCTCACCTTGGCCTTGACCGGGCCCAGGGCGCCTGGCGGCTGGCTCTCTGCAGCCGCCCCGGCGCGGGGCAGGCGCGTGGCGCGAAAGGGAGTCACTTCGCGGACGGTCGCCAAGTGGCGCGGGCCGGCTTGCAGCTGATGGAGCGGCGCGTACGGCTGGTGCCAGGGCCATCTGCGCGGAGCCCGGCCGGCGCGACCACTCCCGGGAGCGAGGCGAGGGAACCCCTCGGGGCCCTCCCCCCGCCCCCACGGCTTGTTCTCTGGCTCCTCCTTTCCTAGCGGTGCGCCGGAGCTGCGCGGAGCCTGGCATACAGTAGGCGCTTTATAAATGCTGGCCTCATTCTTCCCGCTCAGCCTCTGCCCATTCCCTAGTCTTCTTTGTTCTCTTTCGAATTCTCTCATTTCCCCCACCTCTCTTATCCGCATTCTGTGGTCTCCGTCTCCCTGTTCTCCCCTTCCCTCCCTTCTCTTTTGCTTTTCCTCTTCCTCCTCCAGTCCCTCTCTCCTTCTATACATCTGTCTTTCTGTCACTGCTTCTCGGTGGCTCTCACTGCCGCTCCGTGTCTCTCTGTTCCATCCTATTTGTGGCTCCGTGCCTCTCTGTCCTTCCATCTCTGGGGGTGTCCCTGTCTCCGTCTCTCTCCTCATTTCATTATCAGGCCCGCCCCCCACCCCGGCCTTGTGGCCCACTTTCACCACGACGCTGCAGCGCCCCCTGTTGGTTCCGTCCTCCGCCCCTGCAGGACTCCCGGGCCCTAGATTTCCTTTCTGGCCCCTCTCTTTTCCAGGTCACGTAGGGGCGGACAGGGGCGTCCCTGGGCCTTCTGCCTCCCTCCCATCTCCCGAAGGCAGGAACCTGGCCCATTAATTTCCCGGGACCCACCCTGCTGCGCTGCGCCTGGGGAGAGGGCCTGGAGGGGGCGGTGGGGAGGGAGTGTTGGGGGTAGCAGGGTGGGATTTGGCGTCCTTCCCCGGAATGAGCCGCGGCACAATCTGTCGCTGGGTTTGTTTGCCGAGCTGCCTCCGGAGCGCAGTGGGGCTGGCTCTCGGGGAGCGAAATATCACAAGATGCAGAGACAGACGCTGAGGGGTGGGTGGGCGGCCGGCTGACTCAGGTGTGCTGTCATCGGCTGCCCGGCCCCGCTTCTCCGAGAGGGGTGGGGGAGGACCCCGGGGCCCCCAACATAGGCGGGCACCCCAAGTTGGGAGGGGAACCCCCGTCCCGGGGTGAGCTGCAGGAAGGAGGTACTCCTGCCAATCATCCCTGGTTCCAGGACTCTCCTTCAGGCCTGGAAGCTTCAGGGGACACCCCAACTTGCATACACCCTAGCGGGTCCCAACCCCTCTGCTCCTATCGCGTTGGGAGAATGTCATGGTTTCCTATAATTGATCTGCTGACTCACCCCTCCCTCCCATAGACTGCCAGCTTTTTGAGGGTAGGGAACTCTGCTCCATCTTTGTGTCCAGTGGTGCTCAATGAACACTTCTGAATGGATGGATGGATGGGGGTGGCTGGTCTCAATTTACAGGAAATACCACAATGCATTTGTTCTTCCGTGGACATTCTGACCTAGCCCTCCCCTGATTCATATTTGCAGCCCATAGTCCGTGACCTCATGGAATTGGAAACGGCTCTCTCTGCAGTCTGAAGACCAGAGTTCTCTAGATGACTCTGGACACGTCACTGACCTTCCTGGTGCCTCTGTTTCCTCATCTGTGCGGTGGGAATCCATCACACCTTCATTAGGCTGCAGTAAATCACCAGGCACTCGAGGCATGAGAAAGTGCTAGTAAAATGAAGCCCCTGCCTTGCCCACAGGCAGTGGTAGCTGTTGGCCTGCTTTGGTGGAAGTTGTTCTCCAAGTAGAGTCAGGCACCCTATCTGAACTTGGTTTTCTGCAGTCATATGTTTTGAGATCCAAGGGAGCAGGTTGATGGCTAAGTGTAACCAGGGCTGTGTGGCAAGGTGTCTAGGCCTATCTCTGGTGGCACTCTTGGCAAGGCTCTGGGGTACAGGGTCCTCAGGCCTTGACCACAGGGCTGGCCCGCCCTCTGGTGGCTATAGGCAGATCTGCAGGCCGGTGAAGCGCCAAAGTTTTCCCGAACTTGCTGAAGAGACTTCTTACCTTGAGCAAGGGGAGGACCCATTGTCTGGAGAACAGGCTTTGGAAAGGAAGCCCCCCTGTAAGGAAGCAGGATATGAAGCAAACTAGGTAAGTCCTGACGTCCTCTATGAGTTCCCACTTATTAGCAGCCTCTCTACCCCCACTGTGACACCCAAAGCCCCTTTTCCCTCTGAGGAATCCCATCTAGTGTGAGTCCTCAGAAGGTCCTGATTCTTTTCCCCATCTGTTTGGGAAATTCAAGAAGCTCTGGTGGCTTAGTGGTTAAATAATTGGGCTGCTAACCACAAAGTCAGGGGTTTGAACCAGTAATAAATGAGGGAGTCTGCTTCTGTAAACATTTACAGCCTTGGAAACCGTATGGGGCAGTTCTACTCTGTCTTATAGGGTCGCTGTGAGTAAGAATCAGCTTGATGCCACTGGGTTGTTTCTTGTTTTTGGCAACTTCATTGAGTAGAATACTTGGCAGTTAGTGTCCGGGGCGAGATGACTCGATGGTGAGAACATAGGCTTTGCTGGTTCATACCCTGGTTCTGCTACTCACCAGCTCTATGACCTCAGGCAAGTTTGGATTTTTCTAAGCCTCAGTTTTCTCATCCAGAACATGGGGCAACAACAGTGCCTGTTTCCTAGTGTGGTTTGAGGATTAAATGAGATAAAGCATGAAAGAAGGTGACCCTGTGCTCAGTGAACAGTGTTGTTAGCTTCCCACTTGGGGTAGCCAGTCCCACGTGTGCAGAGCCGAACCTCCCCATAGGGTTTTCAAGGCTGTGAGCTTTGGGAAGCAGGTCGCCAGCCCGTCTTCCGAGGTGCCTCTGGGTGGGTTCAAACCACAACCTTTCAGCTAGTACTCAAGAACTTAATCGTTTGTGCCACCCAGGGACTCCCCGGTAAACGTTAATGCTGTTATTATAAATTTTCTTTCTAATATTAACCTGGAGAAATAGGTGGCACTGTGATTAAGGGAGCTCTGGTAGCATAGTGCCTAAGGCACTTGGCTGCTAACCAGAAGGCTGGCAGTTCAAATCC